CAAGATCAAATTGTTTCTTGTACCTACTGACAACGGCACATCGAGATGCACTAAAGTAATATTATTATGTATGTAGTTTTCATAGGTACGGTTTTTCAATAAAGATTGACAATTTAAAGTCTGATAATCGATTGTAACATTTTTGACACGATTTTAAAAAGTGCTGAGTTATAAAACATACAATTTACTAGTACAATATTACAATTTTCTAATGTAGAGACCCGCCAGACCAGGGGAGGTAGTATAAGGCAGCTGCTCTATGAAACGTGTTAATTGATTAAATAAATAGTTTGAAAGTAAGCTTGTCTGTCTTGCGTCTGCTCGTTTGCCTCCTGTCACATAAAAAAAATTGTACAACAAAGTTTGCGTCAACAACGATTTTCGTAAACACCCTGTTAGATAAATCTAGAGTACGACTTTTTGCATGTCGGCGCCGCGATGTCGGCGTCGTATCGCCCAATATCCTTAATTAGGGCAGTAATTATTATTTTCATTCATTGACAAAGTCGCACAAATCTATATTTAGAACTTTTTGGTCGGATTGGGGAATTTCGTTAAGATTGTTGTTTTGTTTCTGTGATTTCGATGTGTTATTGCCATTTGTGGATTTTTGGTTATTTGTCACATATTGTTACAAAATAATAAATTTCATTTAACCTGTACGTACACCGCTACGACTTAGGTTGAGTTGCACCATCTTATTTTAACCGTAACAATAACAATAACCGGTCCTTTTTGTATGGAGTTTGACAGATTTTTGACGTTTGTCAGAGTTAAAGTACCTAACTCAGATTACCTACTCATTGTAGTAGTTAATAAAATTTACTATAAGAAACACAAAGTTGGAACGGAACGGACGGCTTTATCTCTAATCGATGGGATCGAATCGGAAGTAATGATTTGAGTTTGAATTTCTTCTATGAGATTTTTTAAGACTAAGGACTATTTAAAAAAAACTTCAACATACACCAAATAAAGAGATTTTAAGACAGATTAGGTACAATAGTTTTCTAAAGAAACAAACATAAAATATTATTATTACAGGGAATATGATAATTTTCAACCAGCATAGGTATCGATAATGAAGTAGATACTTACCGTTACCTCTATAAGTCTGGCTTTAGTTACATAGAAATTTGCGTTTTGATAATTTGTATTAAAAATCAAGTTTGTTTGAACAGCATTAAATGTGTTAGGGTGTTAATTGTAAACGAAAGTAAAAAATGTGTCCCCAAAAATTTTATTTATATGGAAAAAATAAGTAGTAGGTAATTTAATAAGTCAATTATTGGTTTTAATTAAGGCCATATTAAAATCCTTTTAGGTATAGATTTACCATCCACTGACTAATAAGCACGCTTGCAATAAGTAGATCACTCATGAAACAAAATAATAAAATAAATACATAGGTAAGCCTACATATCTTTGAACTCTACCCCAAAAGTAAAAAATATGTAAGAATAAATTAAAACATTAATCATATTTCATATCAGTGACACCCGTTTTTAAAAAAATCACTTAAAACTATTACAGTCACCAAAGTGTTAATAATAAATTATTTGACACCCTTCTACGCCCTGCAAACAATCTTCAAAGCAACACAAAAGCTTTTTTGATCGCTGACTTCAACAAAAACGCTTTTTTAAAGGGAGCTTTAAAAAGCACGATCAAACTCCATACGATCATTGTTTACAAGCCTATCTAGAAAGCATGCGAGTTCGGAGCTTAACATTTAACCCGTCGGGGTCAAGGCTGGGTCTAAGGGGCCTGGTGTAATGACTGATGCACTGTTATGTCACTGATGACAGAGTTCGTTCACATGATAATGATGAGCAGTTCAGTTTAGTACGAATATGCGCTAAAATTAAAATAATTTTGTTTTTTGTTTACATCTTGGCTAAAATTTCTCAGAGAATTGATACGTAAATCTATAGACCTATGACTACAACGCCGCTATGTGATATAATCGTGACAGAACCTTATTTCAGTTACAGTAATAAAGATAGTTAACACTTTAAAGAAAAACTTTACTTGAATGATTAATTGATAGGGCAAAATAAATGAATTTGAATTCTATTTATAATGGTTTAAGTCTAAATGACGATTGCTTTCGCTCGATTAGGTTCAATATACTTTAGCAATTATTTATTACCAATATAGCAATAATTTATTTCTTACAAATATCTGTTTATGAAAATAGGAAATCTGCTTTGTATCAGCCGAACAGTTTTTCACTGTAGCATCTATTCTTACAGCCAAAGAAATCGTTTCGCAAAACACACAGCGCTAATGCAAGAAAACGTTATGATACTGATCTAAATTTTACGTTACTCGACGTATTTAACTTCATTATTATTGTCTGACAATAATAATTAACCCGACAAGGGCAAGGCTGTTCAGCGCTGTACAACTGATGCACGCTTAGGCCTATTATGTTACTAATGACACTTCATTAGTGCTATAACATGTCAATAATTGCAGTGTTCGCGAAAATGTGTGGGAGTTGCATTTTTCTTTTGTTTTTTCGCCTTTTCACATGTGGTGTGAACGGGTTAAGTTAGTATGAAGTAGTCAGTTCCATAGGGCTACTTCAAACGATTATGGATGCACATAAAGTCTTACATCATTGTGAAAATACACACGATGGGAAGACGGAATACTTAGAAATCACACTGTAGTTAATTTAAGAACTAGGGTTTTATCATTATCAATTAGGTATATGTATAAAACCTCAATTATTAATCAAAAACTATTAAAATCGTTAATACTTCTAAAATTTGCATGTACATATTATTACAAACAAACACACTATAATCCCTTATGAACATAAGGTCTTAAGATCTTTTTATATCTTGGTTGACAAAGTATAATATGAATTTTATTACATATTATCTACACTATATTGGCATACCTACATTAGGGCAGGCCTTTGTCAGGCATACAGAGGTGGTCAGTTGAATTGAGTTCATAGTATGAAATAAATAAAAATGACGGCACGTCAAGACAATCACTAACTGAATTAAATGAGATAGATTTCAATGAAGTTCCATGTGGCCTTTGCGTTTTGTTGACACTTTCGCATTTATGTTATTAGTAGTGGTAATTTATTAAGTATCTGTAGGGTACGTACATTGCATGTTCATTTTATTAAACTAGGATAACGGTGTTGACTGTCCAATTAGTCTGTATATTTATTGAACTATCTTAAGAAAAAATATGTATTGTTCAGTTGTTTGTTTTCCTAAATAAATTAAAAAAAAAAAAATTCTTTGAAAAATTTAGTAGGTAATAGAGCCATGCAAAGTCTTACTATTTATTTATCGATAAAATACAAACAAGAACCGTGGTTACAACTAGCTCACAACTGCAGCATCGTACTATTTCTAATAAATGTCATTTTGCTATATAAAAAAAATCTCTAGTGCTGTCCACTGCACAATAAACACGTTTATAAAGACGACCAAAGGGAAACTACCGTCGCTTTTCACCTAACACGAAACGATTAAGCAATTATTATATTACAAGACATTATCAAAGTTCCCAAGGCTTCACTTATAAACTTTTATGTCGACATTATCTGATCTCGCGGTAATCGTATCGTAATCGTATGTCGACTAGAGACGGGTAATCGTATAGAAATTCTTTTGTTTATTTTTCGAGGACTGTCACTATAATCACTTTATTGTTCACCACAAGTTAAATTGCAGAGAGCCTGAGTAATATTTTTTTAATTATTATTAGGCAATGGATACAAAATAAATAAGTTAATGGCGTTAACTAATAACTAAATGCTATTCATGCTTATTTAGGCAGACTAACAAACAAAAAATATTAATCTACCTACTCCTGCTTATTTCACTCATATTTTTAAAACTGTTCCCTATTTTATTTTGTGTTCTTAAAGTACAAATTCTAAATTCTAATAATTATCAAAAAAAAACTGCTATAAAAGTGTAATGGCCAATAATAATAAAAAACAATAAACTCCACAATTGAATTATTATTTACGGCTCTTATTCTCAAGGTAATTTAATTAATATCTTGTTAGGGGGTTCGAAGTGCTCCACTAAAAAGGGCGTAAGTAAGAAAACAGCAATTTCTGCTAACTCTGAATTTGCATAAAAGTGAACACCCTTATCTCCGGGGCCAGACTGTTTATGAAAACTTTGTCTTATTGCATTCTCATTACCAACGCAAAGTTCGGTTAATTGAGATTTTTGAGGTTAGGGGACTGATTAATTGAGTTTTATTGGTTTTGGGAGGAGTCTGATATTATCAATGTAATAATAATAATAAAATGAACTTTTTTTTATTGTTTTAACCTTATTAATCTTTTAAAACTTAGGCACTGTCACTATAAAAGTAACATTTTATGAGAAAACTACTTAAAAAAAACGAAAAGTCATAAGTTACATTTCATTGATAGTACCTACTAACCAATGGACCACTCTAGTCTGAGTAATAAAATATTTGAATTTGAAAATCACATTAGATCCGATTTCTTTTAATTAACGATTTAGGCAATTCTTGTTTTTTATGATAAGATAATTAACACCTGACTCACGCATTTTTTATAGCCGCCCGCCTACTTTCTTTCACTTCAATTTTTATTTACACTGCTTGTGCGAGTTTTTTTGACAATCAATCACAATGATCACGGTTATTTCAAAGAATAGCTTTTGTTAGTTTAAAATTTTTAACCATCGACTTTAAGATTGATTAAGTGCCTACCTAACCTACTTAGAGTGGGAGTTTTACCGACGGCATGCATATAATTATCGAGCTAGTGTTCGTCGCTAATTACTTTAATTACTATCCACGACTTCATTGATTATGTTTTTAAAGTTAAGTATTCCGACTTAGAAAAAAGTTTCTAATTTCCAACATTTCAAGAACTGACCGCGTGAACTTTGACCCGTACGCACAAATCTATTCTGTAATCGCACAATCCGCAATCACTGAGCACGGTACACATCACTTTCACTGCACACGCTACATACCCTCGCAAGTGAACTGGCCGTAGTGTTTGCCCGAGGATTTGTCGCCGCAGACGACACATTCCACGTTCTGGCCCTTGTCCGTAGCGGAGGATCCGCTCTGGGTCGAAGCGGCTTGGCTGGCCGGGGTGGACGGCAGCAGCTCGTCATCCCGCCACCCGCCGCGGAAGCCGAGCTCCAAAGGCGGGAGGTCGGAGCCTCTCGGAGGGCAAAGGCCCGGGCCACCGACCCCGCCGTATACTAGCGCTCCGTGCGTGATGATGCCGGTTGCGGTCGCAGCGGGGAACACGCGCGGCGCGCTTGTGTCAGGGGTCGCGGCTCAGTCGCGACTGACGCGGGTCTCAGGTCGGGCCAGGGCGCCGCGCTCCGCCATTGGCCCGGTGGCCCAGGGGCAGGGAGCGAAGGCCCCGCCACCTCGACCGCGGCCCCCCACCCCGCGGGGGGAAATCTTTCAGCTGTACGGTCGGAAGAAAATCCGCTGTGGGCGGTTTTCGCCGGTTTCAGAGTTACGGCCGTTGACGTTGCGGTGTTTTGTTCGAATGCGTTCGAAATTATTATTTTGATTTTGGAATTGTTTGTGTTGTCATTTGTTTTTGTTAATTTTATTCGCTGTTTCAAACTACGAACTCCTTTCAATTAATTTTAAAAATATTTTTTTTTTTCAATTGCAAACTTTTAGACTAAACAACTAAACGTTTCTTTTTTCTTGTTTTGTAATGGTAAAATAATTTCGTTAAAGATATTTTCAGTCCTTTTTTGGGGACGGTACCTGAAAATCCTACTTTGTATCAACTTTCCCGTTGCCTCCATATTTCTGCCTGCTGATAGCACATACCTAGCTACCCATACAACATTTACTTGAGGTATTTATTCGAGGAACTCGGGTACCTATAAGTAATTACGCAAGTTTAAGGGTGCGGTATGTTGGGGACGTAATAAAGTAGGATATAGGGAAACTGCCCTATATTTTTAATGACTTTTTGAGTTGTTATGGTTTGCTTTGTTATAGACGACGTTGTTTTATAAAGCTATAAGTTGAGTTTATACACTACATGTTTATTAACTCTCAATAAAATATTTGTTCTTGTGAATACTTTTTACTGTGCATGTGCTGTGGAACTTTTTTAGGTTACAACTATGGAAAAAAGTTATAAACAAATTATTTTAAAGCTCAAAATTAAAGCTCCACAAAAAGGATTGTAAAGAAATAATACTCATTTACAGAGCCTCAAGCATGAAAAAGTACTCAAATAATATGTGTTTTTAAACTATGATGTGATTTTTTGGCTTATACCCAATCCTTCTTCCTTTTCAACATTAGTAAAGATTATCCATTTCATTATTGATATTGCAATCAACAATCACAAAGTCTACCCTTACGAATCTACATTATCACAATCTATGCAAACCGCTGACCGTTCTGAAACAAAACACAATCGATCGCTGAAGCGCGCGCGCAAACTAGATCGATCTAGATCTCTGTGGGCGGGGCGCGGGGCGTGGCCTGAGGGGGAGGGGGGCGACTCGTGCGCATTTGACAGCGTGACGCGCTCGCGGCCTGACGCATCGACGGCTTTTGACATGCTAAATGGTGCGAATGATTTTTTGGTACTGGTCGGTTAACGGTTTCTTTCTGTATTTGTCACTTTACAGAATTTAAAATTTTACTACAACGAAATAAGGTTTTTTATGAATGGTAATTTTATCAAAATAATATAGCATTCAGTAGAAAGCATGAGACTGTTGGGACGTGTATTATAAGCGCCCTGGAAAGGGACTGAGTACTGAATGAAAGTTTTGACTTTGATTAAAAAAAAACATTTAATTATCGTAATGAAGCTAAAAATTTACTAAAGCTTAAATGTTATAAACATTTTAGCTTTTCTATTGGCCTATCTGCATATTGTCATATACAATTAATAACTAAGAAGCTCATGACTGCATGTTTATTCAATAAATAATTATGATATTAAGGATGCACTTTATAATATTTTTTCTTATTTTTATTAAATAGCAATCAATCCCCCACTGTGGGAGGTTTATTTATTCTGCCAATGTCGAGTGTATTATTTGATATTTTATAATATCTAGACAGAACATGGGTGTTTTAGTTCTATAGTTTTTTCGTGGCATTCAGTGAAGAAAACTTCATCACAAATAGTATTATAGGAAGGCAGCCTAAAGCTAAATTGATTTTAATAACTTTTTATATTATAAACAATGAGCTATTTTTCTTATAAGAAAAATCAAAATGTTTACAAGAGTTCATTCATATTGTGTACTTGTGTTAGGACTATTCATTTATTAATAGGTACAGTTACAGTACTAATCTCTTCAAACATCAAATTCACTGAATATCTAAAATCTCTACAAATTTAATTTATTTTACTCTGTGAGTCAGTAAGTTGAATTTTATCAAACACTTTACCAATTTTTTAACATGAACTCTACCACTGTTTTGGGACAAAGCCTGGCCCACATTGGGCCAGTGCTGAGAAGAAGCAGTGCATGAAATCTAACTAAACAAAGCAATAATTAAATAACTTTGTTCTGGCGCAGTCGGGTAACTACTTGAAATTACGCACGAATTAGTAGGTTTCTTCTGCCTGATGTTTTGCCTGCATGGTATTCGATCTGTCACAGAAAGTCTAATTCGCAAAATATATTCTAAAAGCTATGTTATAATACACTCTATAGATCTTACCATAAAAATAAATACGAATTTTGATACTAATCACCAACTTGTCAAATGATTGGTACCCAAGACGATTTTAATGACAAATGGATTCAAATGTATTTTTTTAAATTAATGAGCTTCACACAGTTCAAGACAAAAATATATCAAACAAACAGAAAAGTAAAATTAAGCATAATTACTTTGGCAGTTTTATTAAAGTATTTAATATCAAACCATTACTGACCTAACCTTTAGAATATCGTTAAAATATTTCTACCATAAAAAATGGAAGACGATAACCGTTAGAAAAACCTAATTGTGTTATTTACAAACGTTATGTTAATTAATGTAATTTCGTAATCCCAAGTATGTAAGTAGGTATTTACCGTTATCAGTTGCAGAGGGCTTATCAACGTGTACTAGTTATATCGTTTTAATGAACTAACACTACAAAGTATTTGTACTTTCAAATACGTTTATTTCGCCTAATTGCTAAGTTTGTTTGTCACGTATTTTTATTGATAACTTACATGAATATTTTTCGTGATTGTTGTTTAGTATAATATTTTTTTAACAATGCTGTACTGGTCAAAGCTATTTAAAGATTTTTATCATTACAATATTACTGCCAGGTGCTAGATTTTGAAAGTTTTTTTTTGCCTTTAATTAAACGTTGCTCAGCTGTCAAAAGGCATAGGCTGGGTTACACCATCTTACTTAAACTGTAACAAACGTCAAAAATCTGTCAAACTCCAAACAAAAAGCACCGGTAAGTGTTATAGTTACGGTTAAAGTTAGTTGGTGCAACTCAGCCATAGTTTTTGGTCCATAACTAACATTAATTAGTAAGGGTCATTGGCTCATTGCAGTCGTATTATGTTTCACTTAAAATAATTATCACATTTTACATTTCTTTGCAAATTACTAACCTGAATGTTAACTTCCGTTACTTCAATATTTAGTAAGCTCAATCGTCTGTATTCACAATTTCAGTATTTTTCAGGCCCTAACGCATTCCATTAAGACCGTCAATAAAGATGCTTCCAAAATATTAGTTTTCATAAGTCCACCGCATTTTTCAGTCCCTGGCATCCCATTAAGACCGTCGGCGAAGACAAAAACAAAAGCCTGTGAGCCAGGTGTCTCACCCCGGGGTGAGGGGTGCGGGGTGAGCCGGTAGGGCGGGTCAAAGGTCGCGCCGCCCCGCCCCGCCCACGGCTCATGAATAAAACGCGGAAAACAGGAAAATTGGGAAAAACCATTGAATGGGACTGAAACTGGAGATTGGAACTGGAAACGTTGAGGATAGATTTAGTGAGTATTTCGTGGCGTATGTTAGGATATTTTAGTGTGCTTACTGTGCTTAGTGCAAGTTTTCATTGAATGTTGTCATTAAGTTTATGAAAATTTTAGTTCTTGAAAGTATCTCTAGCGACGCTGTACAATCTTATGCCCGTATTCACAAACATTACTATGAGGTCTCACAGTGCGCGTGGACGCATAGGGTGACACACGAACCAATCACAGAGCTCCATTTAACGCTGTGCGTTCGATTTGCTGCTTCACTTAAGAAAGCATTTTTTGTGAATAACGGGCGTTATATTTCATGTCATTTTTAAGCAGTCGCTAGCGATAACGTATGGTGTAAACTCGCACAAGCACACTGACTGAGGTGTAGTCGAGTTGAAGATGAAAATAACAAGAAGCTTTTGAATAGGAGAAGGACTAAATTAGGTGTGTAAGTTAGAACCGATCTTTAACTATGATTTATTTGAGATCTGGGTCAAGATTAATATTAACGTACGAGACCAGGAGTAGGTATGTTTGATTCAACATCTATCGAATATTATTTTTAAAATAACTTGTAAAAATCGAACTGCCAATTAACGCCAGAAAAAAATTAATAACTACCTATCTATCACGAAATCTTTTCATGACATTCATCACTGACTCCAATCATAATGAATACTGCACAAAGCATTAATTTGTTCATGTCAAACTGGTACCGATTGCAATATTTATTTTATTGAGCTGTGCAATTAGACAACTAACATCTGGCCTCGAATACTACCAAAAATCCATAACTAACTCCGTTTCCAGAGTTTTAATGATGACGTCTTAAAGAATTTGTGTCTTATTGAAATACTCTTATTAGTTAAGCTACCGCAAATCCTTTGAGTATACCTAGACAATACACACAATAGCTTAACTATCTACAAACATAGACATACAACATCCCAAAAGTTAAGTTTCATCTCAAGCTCACTCTCAAGTTGTTGAGTCGCCTCCATCGATCGGTGTCGCCGCTGCCGCTCGCCTGAGTAATTGGGTGCGCTTTGTGGACTCTAGCTTTTTAGAGAGGAAATACGGTGCTAACCGACTGCAGAGAAGTGGGTAATGTTTTTGTTGTGTCAGTGTGTATTTTAACGTCGTTTTTGAAGTACCTAGTTTATGCACATAAGACTCGTGCACATGCACTTATGCACTAAACTTTAAGCTAGCCCTGATGAAATGCTGAAGTGGATAGCAGACATCAATTACTAATAAAACAATTTACTCGTACATAAAACACTAGAATGACCTGAAACCCCAACTAACTCTATAATTCAGTTTATTTTAATAATTGTACTTTATTAGATGG